ACTACCAAAGTCTTAATGTTTCTATACTCTCTTTCACCTATTATTGCCGACAATTTCCTGTAAATGCCGTCCAAATGCTCATCTCCAACAAACGCCGGCTAGACATCCACTCTCCGACCTATTAACGTTATGTGGGCATTACAAACTCTCCTAATATATATATATATATATATATATATATATATATATATATATAATATAAATATATATATATATAATATATATATATATATATATATATAATTATTACCGGATAACCTTTCTATCGGAAGATATCACGTGGGTAGTATTCTCCCGTGGCGGCTTCGTGGTTTTCACCTCGAATATCCCCTATAATTCAGTTACGCAGTACAATATTTATGACACGAATCTGTACGAAAATATCTACATTCCCCCGATGATATTTTCCCGAGGGATATTTTCCAGGGGAACACTGTCCGGTGAGATACGATCCAGTAGAAAGAGAGATAGAGAAAGGAGAGTAAAATAATGTACACGTGTGTGCATCATTTTTCTCTCGATATCATCACGAAAGGGTTCCGGTGATAATTCCCCAATATCTTGCACATATTTTCTAGGGGAAAACCCACAGGCACTTGGAACGTCTCAATAAAAAAAATTTATGGTAAATAAACACGAAATGTAACAAAATCTTAATGTTTCTATACTCTCTTTCACCTATTATTGCCGACAATTTTCTGTAAATGCCGTCCAAATGCTCATCTCCAACAAACGCCGGCTGCCGCCATGGCTGCCGCTGCACACTGACACATAAATATATATATATATTATATTTTATTGAAACGCTCCAAGTGCCTGTGCCTATATACGCAATCCCGCACGTACGAGTTATTTAAAGTGTGTAATTAGCCATGTACCTGTATATGCATGCGGAATGCACTTACGACCTCGTCACACGTCGCATGGAGGTTTGACGTTGCATGGAGGTGTGACGCATGGAGGTTTGACGCATGGCGGGTTGACGCATGGTGGGTTGACGCATGGTGGGTTGATGTATGGTGGATTGACGACGAGGTTTTATGGTTGTGTTGTGAGCATGATGCGAACATCGTCGGTCACTGCCGGCTGGCGTGATACTAACTAGCTTACTGATCAACGACCAGGCGTCTGCTCCAGAGAAGGAAGAAGAGAGAATGAAGAAGAAAGAGAGAGAGAGAGAGGGAGAGAAAAGGAGGAGAAGGGGGAGAGGGGGAAGGAGGGAAGAAAGGAGAGATAGAATGAGAGGGATGGGGAAGGAGGGAGGGAAGGGTAGATAGAGAGAGAAGGATGGGCGAGGGGGAAGGAGAGAAGATAAGAGAGAGGGGGGAACTAAGAGATAGAGATGGATATATATA